CGTCAGAAAACGTTTGTTTACTCTCTCATTACTCATCATTAACTAAGCGTGACATCGAGTTTGGGCTTTGTCGTCGATCGTCACAATTCCGTTACTTGCGTGAACGTGTGCGCGTCTTCCCCACCTAGTTGTCGTGTGGTGATGGAGCTGGCACTGGTAATATTGTATGTGTGGGTATGTGCAAGTGTATGTATGTCTATGAGTATGTCTGCATGTGTGTGTATGTGCGTATGTTATTGTTCGTGTCTTAGTCAATGTATCTCTCTCGCTGTCGTCGACTATTTTTGACACTCTTCCAGATGGTATTCTCCCCACGCCGAAAATCTCTCTTTCACCACTGACTCGCTCTCCATTTTCACGCGCTTCATTCCTTGTCTCTTCGCACAGACAGCACGTGCCGACAACCTCCACTCGTTGCCATCAACAAACACCCGCAGCTTTTCGAAATTGGGTCTCACAGATCGATTCTTATTTTTTGATAGTACCGCATCGATGGAGTGATCTCATCCCGACACTTCTCTCGGCATAAGCGCGGTCGATGTCGTCGGTGCCGCCGCCTCCGTCACTATCCAATCGCCCCCTCCTTGTGTCGTTAATTCGGTATGTGAGCGTGCATGCGCGAGTTTTCGCCTCGCTGCCATCGACTCCTTCGGGGAGAGAACCTGTTATGGCTTGAGCCTTTCCCTTTCAGTTGCGCAATCGTTGTAAAATCTAGCGAGATGCGATCGCGCATGCCGTTTTCTTTAGGCCCCCGTGTTACATACTCGAACCTGTTATCGAGATTATTCGCTTAACGACGTGAAAGACGGAAGCAGCACTCCTATTTCCCTTTATTCTTCGAAACACGATCAAGCAACACATAACATCATAGTTACACTCAAACTTACAGAACTGATAGACTGCTCAGCAAACTATTATCAACGGTAGTTGAAGTATACGATATTACTTCCGTTGACTAATGTTAGGAAACGATAACATTTCCGCACTCAATCATATTCTACATCCATTGTGCATTGTCGGGGAAGACAACTCCGTCCCACGGTTAACTACCCTAAACGATTGCTCATCCATGAACACCGCTCACAAAAAAAAATGTTTAGACGTCGAGAAAAAAGCGTTAACATCAGTAGAAAGCCCGAAAGAGCACCGATACCATGATGACGACTGTCTTATTTATCCATCACGATTGGGAAAAAACGCGTTATCGAATTGGTGGTATTTATCGGTTTATGTTTCAGGTCTGGTACAAGTAAACAACTGGAAGGCTCTTCCATTCGAACAAATTACCGACAATCCGGATGAAACGGTTCATTCGTTGTTTAAAGACATTTCCGGTCATATCACACTGCGGATCCTCACAAAACCGTATGTTGCTGTTTTCATGTGATTAGTCGCTAGGGCGCGAACTAGACGCCTCGTAGAGTAAAGACGGCAAATTGGTCGCTTTTGGCTTCGCTTTCATTCGCTTTTCACTTGCCGAACATGTTTCGTATGTACGCATGTATGTATGTATGTACGTATGTATGTATATATGTATGTATGTATGTATGTATGTATGTATGTATGTATGTATGTATGTATGTATGTATGTATATGTATATGTATATGTATATGTATATGTATATGTATGTATGTATATGTATATATGTGTGTATCTGTGTATTTGTGTTTGCGCGTATGTGCATATGTGTGTATGTGTGTATGCATGTATGTGTGTTTGTTGAAGAAAAGATTGGCGTGACGCGCAGCAGCAGTGAGTGGTAGTGGGCGCAACGCAATCGCAATTCGATCCACCTTTTGTGTACGCGCCAGCGTTGATGCTATACCTAACGCCTTTTGTGTTTAATGTCTTTGCTCGAGCTCGTGCTCATGAATGCACCAGACGCGCCACTTCTCAAACAGAACGACCTCGCCTTGTGTTTGCATCGAGATCTCCACCGAAGCACATCCAACATGTTGTACAAAGTCCGACCAACTTTGCTTAGCGTGTCGAGCAGCTGCAAACTACCCCGACTATTCCTGCTCAGAGTTTGAATATCTGTGTTCCATACAACATGATTACCGTAATCCATCGACCAGAACCATCTTGGCAGTGGACCGCGACGGCTCCGCCACAGCTAACCCATTGTCTCATTTTAGCCAGGGGGTATCGATCAATAGATTTCATTCCGTTTTCGTTTCACACATTTTGCGGATTTTCTGGCGAGAATACGGAATTTGAATACGTAATTATTTGCAATCCTTCGATCCCGCGAATGCATGCGCTACGTGGAATACGGCGGCGGCTTTTATTACCTAATGATAACGAGCAAAGCTAACAAACTGGGGATTATCGTGTCAACATTTTTATAGAGAATTGTCTGATGATCTAAATGATAGGGAGGGATATGTTGGGGATGACATATGAGGAATTTTATTTAAGCATCTCATCCGATTCGGCCAGCACGCAATGTATAACAGATCTCAAACAACGGCTACTAAAGACGGCTGTTTCGAAGAATCCGCAGATTCTAAACAGTGTGGATAATCAACAGATAAAGGTTAATGGATTTCATTCATGTGACCATGACTTTCTATTCTTCTGACTTTGCCCTCTTTGTTATCTCTTTCTCTTCTCTTCACGAATTATTTGCTTTGTAGGAGCTTATCAATCAAGTCATTGCCGGCGACGATCCGGCCATCTTGAACCACGAGCAGATAAACTCCATCAACGAATGGTTAGAAACGCTCGAACAAGGCGATGAACGACGAAGGTTAGTCAAGCGACCATTTAATCGACGTTGCCGAATACCGTCAATCAGAAAAACAAATACCACGAAGGCCGCATATCCCTCATTGGAGCGGATTACGATAATCTTGTTAGTCTACCGTAATCCCAGCAAGTTGTGAGCGGCTGTCTGTTGTGTTTTGAGACGGATAAGCTTACGGGCGAGGCAAGAGCATTGATGAGGCAATGAGGGATTGACGAGGTCGCAGACTGCTAGTGAAAGTGACAAAGCACACGGATAGTGGAGTTCGATGTTGAGGAAGTGAGAGAGCGTACAC